GGAGTGACCTCCGGACGCGTGTACCTTCGCTCCTGCCAAGGATTCGGCAGCACAGGTTCTGCAGCAGAACGTTGGGCGACTTCTGGTCGGGGGTTGCCATCGTAGCCCCGCGGCTGTGAACAGCCTCCCGCCCTCGCCCACTGCTCCCGCGCCTGGGCTACCGCGCCGCCATGTTCGCGGAAGCTGCGAAAGCGCGCGCTTCCCACAAGGCCCCGCTCCACACGCATGCGCGAGCTCAGGGTCCGCCCCGCCGCGACTCTCCCGCGCGCGCAGAGTTCCTGGGGGCGTCGGACGGGTGCCGGCGAGGGTCCCGGGGAACAGCCCGCTGTTTGGGTGGTTTTTAAATGGCACCGGTTGAATTCACAATTTTGATGGCGGATCTGTGTAGGAGCGCAAAGGGGATGAGGTTTGTGACAGGCGGTGCACTCCTGTGAGCAGAAATTAGCGGCCGAGGCCCCCCAGCCTGGAGCCCTGCGCCCAAGATAACGATGACGTCATCGGGCGGGGGGGGGCAGTCACGTGCACAGAGCAGCCCGGGGCCTGCGTTGGCGGAGGCGTGCGACCTGCAGCTTGCTGGGCGGGCACCCTCCCGGAGCCACCGGCCGCAGCGGAGCGAGCACGGGCCCCCCAGACAGGAGGGGCGGCGGGACACGCGGGACTGCGATGTGCAGGGCGCGGGCGGCGGGGAGGCGAGCGCGGAGAGGACCGCACGTCCTCGGCGTGGCCCTGCCCCTGTGAGTGAGCCGGGCCTGCCCGCGGCAGGATCCCGGTCCCGGCTTCGCCCCTCCTCGGGCGCCAGTTCGCTTCCTGGGCGCTGCCCCCTCGGGAGGTGCTGAGCGGAACGTAGTACCACGACCGGCACCACTCTGCCCGGGTCCCCTCCTGCGCTCGAGCGCCTCGCCCAGGGTGGCGGCGCTCTGTGCCAGGTCCAGCGTGGTTTCTGCTTGGCCCACCCGGCCCTAGCACAGTCGTTGGCAGGGGCAGTGACCCGGACCTTGCGCATACCAGAAGCCTATGGGTTAACACCTTGAAGGAAGCGGCTGTAATCCCTGGCCTTTGCAGCCCCGGTGCCAGGGTGCGCATTCCGGGGGGCTTTCTGTTTCTACTTCTGGCTGTGATCCCAGAGGCAGCCCTGGAAGGGTCTCTCCTGCATGCCCTGCAGCGTTCGGAGACCAGACCCAGACCCAGGAGGGCCACGGGTAAGAAGGGAAGCAGGCTGCGCACGTCCTGTCTTATAATAATAGGCCACCATTAGCTGAGAGGGGGGACACTCTGAGGCTTGGTCGAGCCATTTTGGGGTAAGCATGTGCTCCAGAGTCCCCCAGACCAATAAGCAGAGGTTGCCCTGCTCCTCCTCCTCCTGATTTGCAGGAACGAACCGAATGGCTGTGCTCGTCACCGAGTTAAAGTGGAATTCGAAAGGATTCAAGTGATCAAAAGGAAGAGAGAAAAGATGAACAGAAGCCGAAGAGGAAGGGGGCCGCTCACTCTTTCGGCCGCTGTGCAGGCGAGACTGAGCGAGGCCTTGCCATGAAAGGCGCTGTCAGAGTGGATTGCTTTCAAGGCTGAGCCTAATGATGTGCTGTGTAACAAGGACACCTTCTAGTAGGAGACAAGTGAGCAGAAGAAAGAAATGCACGCAGACCTTGGTACTCAGCGGCTTTGAAACGTGTGGAATTTGGTTTTCAACACATTTTGACTCAAAACTCCTGTCCTGGTGCTCATCGTTTGTTTGGTACTTGGTGCCTACTGGTGTCTGTTGCCTGGTGACCCACTCTCCTCTCCAGCTTTGTTTGCTACCTGTCTTGGTTACTTTTCTCTCCTTGCTGAGACGAAACACCCAACGCCCAAAGTGAAGGAAGGAAAGGTTTATTTAGCTCACAGTTTGTGGAGGTTTCAGTCCATACTTAGCTGATTCCGAAGCAGAAGACAGCAAAGCAGTAAGAGCAAAGAGGGGAATGGCAGTTCGTGCAAGCCTCTTTCTGTTCCTTATATTGTAAGCAGGCTACCTCCACCCAGGGAGCGGCACTCACATAGTTAACCTTCTAAACTTCTCACATCCACAAGGAAGAACATCCTAGAGCAGAAAGGGCGTGTCCTTTGCATCCCAGGATATAGAACTGCTGAGTCACTTAGCCAAATGTCTAGACTCCCCAAGTTGACACAATGTACCAACCATAACACTACCTTTCCTTCTTCTACCCTACACCTTCCAGAAACAAAGATTAATAAGTAGCGTGGGACCACTGCACCATGAAAATTGCCAAGCTTGATGAAGCTGAAGGGGCACATTGAAATTAACGTAAAACAAGACAATGAGTCTCACCAGGGATAAAGACCTTTCACAATGATAAAAGGGTCAACTCCGAAAACTATAGCAATTATATAAACTTAGGAAGCAAGAGCTCACAAAGTTTCAAAATGCACGAGGTGGAACACTTCCAGAGAGGGGCAAGAAGATACAAGCAAATCCTTTACACACACACACACACACAAAAAAAAAAAAAATGTCTTGGTTACTTTCTCCTTGCTGGGACAAAATACCTGACAACCACAAGTTGAGGAGGAAAGACATTTTCGTCCCTGTTGTAGAGGCTTCAGTCCCTGGTTGGCTGGCTCCAAGGCAGGAGGAGTGACAGGTGGCATCGCAAAGGAGAAACTCCATGGTGGGGCAGGCAGGAAGCAGCTAGGAGGTGTTGGGATTGAACACAGGACCTTGTGCATGGTAGACACGTGTTCTGGCTCTGCAGGATCTGTCACCGCTTCTTAGGTTCTTGCTGTACCACAGGAAGGAACGGCGGCGAGAATGAGAAAAGGTAGACGAGACAAATAGCACGGATCGGGTGAGGACCCAATCACCTGAGCAAAAGAAGAACCCTGCTCAAGACCATGAGAGCGTTTATTTTATACCCTCAAGAGGTTGATTAATTTCAGCCTCTGCCCAGCAATCAGTGAACAAGCGGCAATGGCTTATTTACACGCTTCGAGGAGCTCCCCTGTTCTCGGGCTGGCTGCGTCCTGCACGTGTAACTACTTTCCAGCTTCAGCTGCTCCCAACATGTCTGCTTTGTAAATGATGGGCATTTAGCTGAAGCTGGAAAAGCTGTGCTTGGAGAACACAGTCCAAATCCCCGTAACAGTGCCCAGGTACCAGTCTAGGTGGCAATTGTCAGAAGTTCTTGGTAATTTGAACCACTTACAGCTAACACCTTACTATGGCATTGCCTTTTACACATCTTGTGATTTCTGCTGGATGTTTAAGACCAAGTTAAGGCAAGGCCCATATTAATCCCTTTTTGCTACCTATCAAGGTCAGTTAAGTCTCCTCAGGAATCGCTTTGGAACCACTCACAGCATCTCTAGATCTTCTGTCAGTGTCAGCCATCTGGATGAGTCACGGCCATTGCTTGACCAAGGTGCTTTCTGTGAAAGCTTGAGAGACCTTTTCTCTCCAGGTGACTCTCCTTAGGTACACTGTACTTTCCTCTGTGGTCCCATGATCTCCTTGATCAGAAAATCAGGGACTCAGCTGAGCTATAGGGTACTTTAGCAGAAGCTCTCTTCTATCCTGGGTTTACTCTGACCTCGGATGCCTGGGGCCAAAATATTGGCTCTCCCCTTAGCCCATTTATCTTTCTAATTTTTGGTCTCCAAACCTCAGTGGTTACACATCCAGGAGAGAAGCTTTTAATGACATTACAACATAATAGAGGCAGTAAGCTTAACATTACTATGTATCAATATCAAACACCTTAGAACGTGAAGAGATCAGTGTGGGAGAAAGCAAGGACAAATGAACGTCCCGTAGGAAGGCTGGGGACAGTGTGAACATGGTGTAGCTGTCTCACAGCGTACACCGACGGTGACCAATCAAAGGGGCAGTTCTTAGGCTGTGGTGTTGGGGTGGCACCGCACCCCCAGACCTGTTGTGGCTGACGCTGGCCCCTATCGCCTGTCGGGCAGACTTCTTCCCTCCGTGTCACCCTTTTCTATTCCTTCCGACGCTGCTCCCATTGGAAAACACTCTCCCACCTGTGCTTGCTGACTGGGTCTATGAGCTGCTCCTCCCCAGGTGGGACGGTTTCTGTCCCACACACTGAGCTATCAGTGCCTTACTTACGCCAGCATGCACACGGCCTCTGTGTGTGCTTGCTCCAGGTCTGACTGTTCACGTTCTTTGTGGGCCCTGGGTCCCCATTAGAGGTGCACACATTCACTGTGCCTCTTCCCCTCTGCTTTAACGGTTGAGCACTCCGGTGGCTGCCAAGGCATGTGGTAGACCAGCAGTCTCCTGTGAGATAGCCACTGCAGGTCATCGGAGGAGAAAGCGGCCTGTGAACACTCTCTGTTCTCAGTGGACGTTGGGCACTGAGATCAGACAGGCGTGAGACAGGTGGTCTGGGGCAGTGCTGACCAGGCCCTCTGCGGCCCACCGTGCCCACTGCCAGGCACGTCCAGTGGGTCTGTGTCCCTCTTCTGTGATGCCACGATAGCCACCTTGGACGTCACTACTGTTTCTGCACAGGTTATAACAGCTGCCACGTGTGGACTCGTGCGCTTTCACAGGGTGACAAGGCTGTGTCAACACCCACTTCACAGCCGAGGATGCTACAGTTGAAGGCCCTCAGCTCCCGGGGAAGTTCAGAGGAGGGCAGAGCCCGCTCAGCACCTCCAGCTGTGCCATTCTGCTCCCCGAGCCACTCTCAGTCCAGGCTTTGGTGATTGCTCAGAATGTTTTGATAAACTCCCTTATGCCATTAGCCCTGCAGTCCCAAGGAGCGGAAGAGCGAAAGCTCCCAAGGAGAAATCAGATAAGGCATTTGAAAGAAAGAAGTTAATTAGTTTTCCGGATGATTAGAGAGCTTATTCCTCTTTTGCTTGAAGGACCGCTTCGCCTGAGTTAATAAAGTGAAGGTGGGGGTCTCTTTCACGGCAAAACCTTCAGCCACAGCTCTTTGACCAGCCAGAGTGGCCAGGGAAGTCTCAAAAGGAGATTTGAATAATACACGCCCCGCCTGCCCTGGGCATTGTACTTGGTGATTGAGTCGAAGCACATGAATGACTGGGCCAGTCGTCTGTTTCTATAAATATATATAATCAATTACATTGGCGGTGGCAGGCTTCGGTAGTCTCTGAATAGTAGAGAAAAACATTTGTCCTGCCACATTTTCATATTTGATGAGCTTTGTGAAACCATGGAGTGGGCTCG